TGCTCGTAGAAAGCGGAACGAACGTCTCTATCAAAGCGGAAAACGGACAAACTGCACTCCATATAGCGGCACACAATAACTTCTACGCTATTGCTAAACGCCTTATTGAGTCTGGTGCTGATATCTCAGTTACAGATAACAAAGATCTTACACCGTTACATCTGGCTGCAAACAATGGTAGCTATGAAGTTGCACGCCTCCTTCTTGAGCATGGCGCTGATCCATGGGCGCAATCTCCGAAAGGATGGATGCCATTGAATCTTGCGGCTATAAAGAAACACGATTGTGTTTTGGAATTGCTTCTTGCTACCCAGAAAGTTGCTTTCTCTATTGAAGAACGAGAACGAATAATTAGGGTTATGGGAAATAGGTATCCGGATTTTTGATCGTTGGGTTAATTTTGCAAACTGGCTATTTATTAATGATGGATTTTGGGTTATCGATACGAATGGGTAATTTGATGATTGGGATAATGAAGGTTTATTTATGGAAGAGAAATTGTATTGTACTCTGGCGAAGGATGGGTTGTTGAGAAGGATAGATTTACAATGGGGTGCCCTATAAATTGAATATAAAGGAAAATACATATTTAGAATATTTCATAAGAAAGAATTACGAAACATTATATTAAAGAGCAAACCTCTAAGAACGATTTTCAAACTGTACACAGATCAGAATCAAAAAAAGAAGAAAGACAAAACAACCACCTCGATTCCAAATGCTAAACGGATAATATCATACAGGCGTGTAAGAAAGACAAAAGCACAATCAAATTAGAATGAGGGTCATATACTACACGAAAAGCCCCTAGTTCCTGTATGGACTTGAGCTGAACCAACACCATGCAGTTTACCGGATAGCTAGTGATTCAGCCACTATTAGTACCGAGGTTGGTGTGGTGGGGGTGGAGGTGGCGGCTGTTGATAGGCTTGGTGGTGATGGTGATGGTATGTCTGAGGGCCGTGAGGGCCATGGGGGCCAGGAGGTAGGTGTAAAGGCTGATGCGGAGGAGGATGAGGGGGAGGAGGGGGATGCGGATGGTATTGCATATTTGGCGGTGGTGGTAAATACTGTAGGTGAGGGTATACGCTTGGAGTATGATGGGGATACGGCATCGGCATCCCTGGGCCGGGACCTTGTATGGTTGGAGGAGGAGGTGCCTGATATGGAGGTGGAGGTAGGCTGGGGCGATGGTATCCCATCTCTTGAAAGGGAGGAAGGTGTTGATTCCGTGGGGGAAATAGTATTAGGTAGCCTTAGATGTTCATTTAGGTGAGGAAGCACTTGAGATTGTGACCTCGTTCCCACAGGGGGTAGTTGTTGCTGAGGAGGTGCCTCTTGATGCATGTGGGGGCCCTGGTACGGAGGATGGAGATGCGGAGGCGGTGGGCCAGCGAACTGCGGAGCCGAGTATCTACGCATATCCGTAGATGGAGGGTACAATGGCTGAGCGAGTGGTTGTGGGAGGAGTGGCCTATGTGAATCAGGGCGTATTGGGCTATATTGCGGCTGTTGCTCTGGTTGTGATGGTGCTGGCAAATTTGGAGGTGGTTGAAGAAGAGCAGAAGTCGGTGGAAGCTGCGGTGGAAGCTGCGGTGGTTTTGGCGATGGCGCAGGTGGTGGCTTTTTCACCTCACCTCGATCCAGTGCAGCATTTGCCAGGGTATCTAATGGGCTTGACTCTTCAACCTCTTCTATCTTGGGTTTCTTCCCTTCTGCGATATCGCAGGCCTCGACCAATGCACCCATTAATCGTGAGAAACGAGGGTTAGTGAAACGCCCATTAATGCCATCACCGTCCTGCGGTGCTGGCACCTCCGTTTCCTGATGCATAGCCACAATTCGTGGCCATATTTCTTCGCCTATCTTGGTTCGCTGGGCTAGATCTTCCCACCCGTTCTCCACACGTTCATACAGAGCGGCTCCCTCTGGGTCCCGGACAAATGAACTATCGAACCCACGAGCAAAACGTGGGCTGACTGGCGTCCGCGGTTCTGAGGCTGATTCTTCAGTTTCTGTGTGGTCCTCGTCTGCTGCAATGCGTGATTTCTCTGAAGTTTCCATGAATGAGCCTTGAGCGGCAATAATGTGCTCGTTCATCACATTTTCGACTTTGTTCTCGAAATGTGTTCTGATCCGGAATTCCTCAGTCTCGCGCCAAACATCTAGAGCCCGTTCTCGCAAACTATACTCCTTCTGAATCAGATCTTCAGCCTTTTTGAGCTTCTTTTCTAGGCCCTGGAGCACCTCATTGTAGAGACTGGAGGCCATGTGTGCCTTTGGATCTTTGATCAGCAAAGCCTCCGAGCGGCTGGCTAGTGCAAGAACCGCAGACTTCTGTACAGCCGCTACTTTTCGGTATATCTGGCTGAGATCCTTTTGACGCTGTCGAAATCGTTGGACGACAGCACCTGCTTTTGGCGAGAGGTCACGATCAGCCACCAGTTGCCTTGTGCCGCGAGCTCCACCGCTGCGCCCTCGGGCACTACGGCCACCACGTCGAGTTCCTCTAAACCCTCCCCGCCATCTGCCGGACCCATTAGGGGCTGCATCTGAAGACATTTTTGCTTCCGGGCCGAGAAAAAGATACCGATCATGCAAGACAAGAAAACAGAAACAAATAGAAGGATGAAGGGGACAAAATATCGGTTCACAGACACTCTCGTATGATGATAGAGTGGCTTTTAGAGAGTATTTATTGCCTTCCTCATGGTGTTGTTACCAAAAGTCCCTGGTCAAGGCATATAGACAACCAGGCAATGGCTAACCCTTTTTAGAGTTGTATAGTTCTGTATTGGTGTGAGATGTGACAACAGCGGTGTAATATGCAAGAAAAAGTAAGGTATTGATCAGTGATATCAGCGAGGAGAAGCAGGGCGAGAATCTCGTTAAGTAGTATCCTGCAGTCTGCAAACGACCATCTCGAACTTGTCCTCTTCAGTTGAAGTAGAGAGAAAACAACATAAAAAGGCGTAAGGGAAGGCGTTGGAGGTTTCGGAAGTAAAGCAGAAAAACTTCCTCACATGACTTACGGAAAAACGGAAACGCCGACCCCACGAACTTTATTGCACGTGACAGCCCCCCTGCCCAGCGTTTTTTTATTAATCAAAGTATTCAAGCTTATAGATAAGTAACAAATATGGAACAATATAACAATACTAGACAATAGAGAAGTCCAATTGTCCTGTATACTGAGAGTGATAAAGACAAGAAGGATACAGAGGCTACTCCAGGCTTACGGACAGCAATGTCGAAGCCAACAGATCAGACCACTGATCACTCCAGATGGAGACTCCGCAATGATCGGGGAACCCAGACATGGCACTACCTACGAACAGACAAGGAGGTAGAAGAGTGGCCGCAGACCACTGCGGATAGATATTTCCTCAATCTGCCTTTGGTTGGAGTTTCCCCCTCTTCCATCCTTCATGAACCAGGAGCTTGCTGCAGCTGCTCTATCCCCTCCTGAACTGTGTGGATTACTAGAGCTAACCCAAGGCCCATGTTATTTAGGATCTTCCAGAGTTACCACCGGCCAAAACTCCCTTACAGTCTGCGTCCAATGGCTTGGAGTTCTTTTCGAAGCTTCAATTGGAACCGGGGAACTGGGGTTGTGAGTATGGTGGGCCTATGTTCCTCCTACCTGGTCTCATCGTCACTTGGTATGTGACGCACACCCCCGTACCTCCGGAATTCTCAATTGAGATCAAGAGATATCTCTTTGCGCGACAGCACCCGGAGGACGGTGGGTGGGGTCTTCATGTCGAGGGTCACAGCTCGGTGTTCGGCACCGCTATGAATTATGTTGCCTTGCGGCTTCTAGGAGCCAGTCCAAAGGATCCTCGGATGGTAAAAGCACGGAGTAAGCTACATGAACTAGGAGGTGCCCTCTATGGCCCTCACTGGGCTAAGTTCTGGCTCTGTGTCTTGGGAGTTATGGGATGGGAATCACTTAACCCGGTTCCCCCCGAGTTATGGTTAGTGCTAGTCCCTTAGCAATCGCACAACTAGCTACTAACTAGCCTAACAAAAATAGGCTACTGCCCGATTGGGTTCCATTCGCTCCATGGCGATGGTGGGTTCATATGCGACAGGTCTTCCTTCCGATGACCTATGTCTATTCTAAACGGTTCACCCACCCGGCCGACTCGCTCACACGCGAAATACGAGAGGAAATCTACACCCAGCCCTACGATTCTATCAATTTCGCAGAGTTCAGGGGTAGTATCGCAGACGCAGATAATTACCACCCAAAATCAGCTCTCCTGAAGATCCTCTTCTGGATTCTAGCTAATATATGGGTTTATCTGCGTTGGCCGGGCCTTGTAAAGGCGGCTGAGGCCAGGGTTTGGCATCTTATTGAACGAGAGGATGAGAACACCGATTATGCATGTCTTGGCCCTGTCAACGCTCCAATGAATACTCTTTGCTGTTACATCCATGATGGACCGCAGAGCCACTCTTTCCGTCGTCACCTTGAACGTTTACATGACTTCTTATGGATGAAAGATGAGGGGATGTTAATGAATGGTACCAATGGGGTTCAGTTATGGGATACTGCTTTCGTAATTCAGGCTGTGGTTGTCGCTGGCCTTGCTGAGGAACCAAAATGGAAACCAATGTTATTGAAAGCTCTTGAATTTGTGGAAGATCATCAAATGCAAGAAAGCATTCCCGAGCAAGACGAATGTTATCGATTCGAAACCAAGGGAGCATGGCCATTTAGCACCAAGGCCCAGGGATATACTGTTAGTGATTGCACGGCAGAAGGTCTTCGATCCGCCCTCCAGCTTCAAAAGCAGCTTGGCTATCCAGCCCTGATATCTGATCGGCGTTTGAAGGATGCTGTGGATACCCTTCTCAAAATGCCTAACCCCAGTGGAGGATTCCCCGAGTATGAACCTGCCAGAGCTTCGGAATACGTCGAAATGCTCAATGCTGCTGAGGTGTTTGGCGGCATCATGATAGGCTATACCTTCCCAGAGTGCACTACAGCCGTTGTCACCGCCTTGTCGTACTTTAGCAAGTTCTTCCCCGACTACAGGACCGAAGATATCAAGAAAGTGCGCGAGGCTGCCGTAGACTATATCCGACGAGTGCAACGTCCCGATGGTAGCTGGTACGGCAGCTGGGGCATTTGCTTCACATACGCTGCCATGTTCAGCCTTGAGAGCTTGGCTACCGTGGGAGAAACATATGCTACTAGTGAGCGAGCTCGCCGTGGTTGTGAGTTCCTTTTGTCCAAACAGATGGAAGACGGCGGCTGGGGTGAATCGTACCTCAGTTGCTCGAAGAAGGTCTATCACCATTACAAGACCTCCCAGGTTGTACAAACATCATGGGCTTGTCTTGCTTTGATGGAAGCAGGCTACCCCCATAAGGAACCGTTGCAGCGAGCCATGAAACTTCTCATGTCACGACAACAACCAAATGGCGAATGGTTACAAGATGGCATTGAGGGGGTATTTAACATGTCTTGGTAAGTTATCTTTAACGCCCTCCCATACTCTTCCGCTCTCTATTTTGATGACGATACTGACCCATATTAGCATGATCACCTATCCTAACTATAAGTATTACTGGCCAATTCGAGCTCTTGGGCTGTACGCAAAGCAATTTGGCAACGAGGTGCTCTTCTAGATCTAAGCCAACCACACATTTAACTATCAAAAGGGGGACTTGGTATATATTATGTTAACTACGTTATCTATTCCCTTATAATACTTTTAATAAATATATTTATTCCCTTTTTCTCACTCTTTTCTCTCTTTTCCTTCTTTTATGCCCCAGCCTAGACCAAATCACGTGAAGATAACGTTCTATCTTGAACTTTCTCTGAGCTTCCATCAAATCAACAACTTAAGTTTATCATCTTCAATCATCTCCAACTCAGAGCCAGCTCTAGGATTGTCGCAAGATGGATTACGCCCAGAAGGGAGCAAAGGCTCTGGGGAGCTCGGATTTTGCTGCTGCAATTAAGTGCTACACCAAGGCCCTGGCTGTTAACCCTTATGCTGCGGATTACTATGTAAAGCGATCAACAGCTTACTCGCGAGTAATACCTGCAGATGGGGGCCCCAAGCTAAGGGAAGCACTGCATGACGCCGAAATGGCCGTTGCTCTCGGCATACAGCGAGCAAGACGGGAGCAGATCCTTGCAGGACAGATGAGACGGGCTATTGTTCTTTACCAAAGTGAACGTTATGGCGATGCACAGTATATCTTCCAAGTGGTGCGCTCGAAGGTGGGAGAGGAGGATCCTGAAAACAGAAAAGATGCCCTTGATGCTGCTATAGCTAGCCGCGGGTATGCACCTACCTCTCAAGATACGAAAACGAGACAACAGCTTCAGATTTGGGAAATCAAGATCAAACCACAGCTTGCAAAACTCGACCCCACTGACGAAAGGGCCAAGGTGACAGTTAAGGAAACCCCGGATATTGTAGTCCCAACACAGGATGAGTTGAGAGAGATACATTGTGCCCAAATCCAAGATGGCGTTGTCACTTCATCCGCAAAATCAAATGAACAACCTTCATCTACAACCCAGGCGAATGAGGATCTAGCTACAGAGGCTAAACCTGCTCAGATGTCAAAAACCCCCCCGGCTGCGCCTCTCCCGTCCAATACGCCCAGCAGAACAAGACATGAGTGGTACCAGTCAAACGACAGTGTGGTCATCACTATATATGCCAAAGGAATCCCGAAGGACAAAGCAGATGTTGACATTCAAGAGACTTCGGTTAGAGACCCATCAGCTATATATTCCCCTATTTTATGATGGATACGTGGCTAACTAGCTCTAGTTTTCCATTACGTTCCCTCTCCCTTCGGGTTCCGAGTTCTCATTTGTTTTAGATCCTCTATTCGCCCCCGTTGATCCATCATCGTCGAAATTCAATATAATGTCTACTAAAGTTGAAGTTACTTTGCGCAAACAATCAGCCGGTAGAAAGTGGGCAACATTAGAGGGCAACGCTTCACAAGACGAAAAGATCTCACCGTCTGAAACTACAGCTCTCCAGGACACATCTAACCTCCAGAATCGGCCCATCACAACTGAGAAGGCGCCTGTATACCCGACTTCTTCAAAATCCGGACCAAAGGATTGGGATAAGGTGGTGTCAAATATCCAGAAAAAAGAGAAGAAGGCTAAGAAAAAGAAAGGAGATGGGGACTCAAATGGAAATGAAGAGGATGAAGGTGATTCGGACCTGTCAGATTACGGGTCTGGAGATACGGTTGATTCATTTTTCAAGAAGTTATACGCCAACTCTGACCCAGATACCCGACGTGCGATGACTAAGAGTTTCTATGAGAGTAATGGAACCGCATTGAACACGAACTGGAGTGAGGTTGGAAAAGGCAAAGTCAAGGAGCACCCACCGTCTGATGATTAATTACTATCAAGGGTTACACCAGACAACTGTCTGTGCACCTGGACCATATATCTAATCAATGGCTAAATGATAATTTATGATTGTATGTTATATACGGCGGCTCTAGTGTTCAGCAAAATCAACTTACTCTATGGATGTTTTGCATTTATCCATGAAAACATATTGCGACAACATTCACCAACTATATATGAATGGCATAAAATGTTTATATAGATCTCTAAAGATAGATTGCAGCCCAAATTTTCCTGAAATGTCAAATGAAATCGTTATGTCCCCCTTTCGTACTTGCAGATGGTAACCTATGCATATAGGGTAACGCCCATCGCTGCAGGTATATAGGCTGGAATAACCTCCGTAATAACTTATTCCGCCTGGATATCATTACATCCATCTTTTCCCCTATACATAATAAACTGTGAAAAGATAGCCAGGTCCATGAACAAGGTCCCCATGCTCCCCACTAGCCAAGAGGCGTTCACAGCCATATATCGTCCGTATATACTCTGCCGCTCACCAGGCCGACATTTGCCATGCTCACCCTGGCAAACAGGTGAATAAGCGAATATAGAAAGCACATATGTCAGATTGCCGATGCAGGCAAATATGAAAAATAGTAAGGATACTCCTTCAGTGCTCTTTCGGCGCCAGTTGAGGAGTAACTGAGGGATTCGGCTACCAAGATAGAACACAGCACATAGGTATCCAAATATTTGGCCCGTGATGTCGAATTTGAGTGTGTCGTCTGGTTTTTGGAGATCAGGTTCGTTGTGCTGCTGCCTTGAGCTGGCGCTGACATACCATCCTAGAATTCCCGCTGCACAAACAAGGGTGATGCTGAAGGTGTTGAAAGCAATTATCTGGAACGTTGATGAAGGGCGTGGTGCAGTACAGCCTACTTCTTTCCGTAGCGGTACTGCTGGAGATAGATGGGTTCCATCGACGGATGTAAGGTGTTGTTGTAAAGATGCGATTGATCTGAGAGATTCCCGTCGTGGATTGGTAGCTCCCCTGCTACTTGAGCTATTACCTTCTCCTTGTGACCAGTTATGCAGAAGTGGCGTTTGTTCTGACGATTGTGTTGCAGGTGTTCTTTCCTGCGTAGGCGCTCTCCTGTCCTCCTGTTCAGAATTTTTGGTAACATCTGACACGCTGAGGCCGCGATAATAAAAACATTGGCCAAGCAGGATGATGTCAGCGAGTGTATAGTATACAGCTAATATGATCATGGTAGGCAAGACGCCTTGCATGACCGCTCCGATAATGTTGAAGACATCTCCAGCGAGCCAGACGACGAGGAATTCTAATGATAGACCATCTGCGGAGCTGCGACGGAAGTTTTCAATGATCTGGGGGGAAAATACGACAACCCAACATGCTATTGATATGGACCTAGATGAGATTTTCTTGTTAGCAAGTTGAATGGTAGAAGACGTTTGGGAAACTATCTCTTGTTTTCTCTAGGAAGCCCTCGAGTACACCATATATCGGGCGCCAAACCAATAAAGTAGTATGTATAACCTACCCGCAAATTCCACTCAAAGCTTCTATGCTTGTTGCAGCGCTTAGAGGAAGCATTGCTACCCTCTATGGTAGGGTAGGCCGGGGGAATAAGATAATAGTGCTTCAAGGAAACAAAACGTATCAAAATCACAGGGGGTGCTACCACACAAAAACTATCATCCTCTGGAAAGTAGTCTTCTTTATATTCTGGCTTTTAGTCCGCTAAAGAACTGAATTCATCCTAAGCAGGTTTCTAGGGGAAAATATGAACTTTTCCATTGAAAAATGTCAAATATCGACGTCATATTCACGTGATTCACCATCCGCCCAGGGTCCAGTCCTGTATAGAGAAAGAGATAAATCAGCAGCATTTAAGATATTTGGGTTCATGGCGTCGGCAGGACGTCGTCATGGTTAGTGTTGCTAACGACGTCTTTCCACTCGTCCAGAAGAGCCAAAGTGTCGTTGCACTTATTCCTCATCAGCTGGCAGGCCTCTGCGCCCAGAGCGACTCGAACAGGGATCCGCCGGCCCGCGGCACAACCGGTCTGCGTAAGAATATCGACAATAATTTTGCTACCCTTCACTAGATCTCCAGGTTGTTTGTGATCTTGGTTATTGCTTTCTTCGATTGCGGCTCTGGTGGGGGTGTTATCGTAGTCTGGGATCGGATGTAGTGCAGCGAATCGATGACCTGCAGCCAGTAGATTCGACCGGAAGTCACCAGGCTCGAGAGAGGTAACAGAGATTCCGAACGGTTCTAGTTCCACACGGAGGGTCTCTGTGGCGCCTGAAAGGGCCGTTTTTGTCGCGGAGTACAGGCCTCCTCCGACAGTGTTTGTCCAAGAGCCGGCACTAGATGTATTGGCAATGACACCGGAGTGTTGCGAGCGCATATAAGGCAGGACAGCCCGAATAACGTTCAACGGGCCAAATACATTTGTATTAAAGAGGGCGTAGGTTTCCTCAGGGCTGTAACGAGAATGTCAGAGAGGAACCATTCTCAGTAACAGGTGGTGTGTGATTGGCAGAACAAACTCTACCTTACTTCCTCCAGGGCACCTTGTTGGATGTATCCAGCGTTGTTGACGAGAATGTCGATGCGTCCATGGATGTTGTATGCCTCCCAGACTAGTCGCCTGATATCGTCAAGACTACTTGTGACATCAAGTCCAAATATATCAGCACCAGCTTCCTTCAGCTTCCCAATCTTTTCAATCTTCCGAGCGGTCGCAATCACTTTATCGCCTCGTCTCAAGGCTTCGAGGGTTAACTCCCACCCAAACCCGGAGGAGCAGCCGGTGATAAACCACACACGAGGAGCCATGCTTGTGTCTTTTATGACAAGGCTAAAGGCAAGAAGACGCTCTTGTTCGTTTTCGATGATGAACTGGAAGATTTATGTTGATGTTAGCCAAAGGCGCATTCTCCCGCCCTTCACGGATGTGTCCACAGAAAGCCTCGGGTCATCATCAGACTTGCGGGACGATCAAGATGGAAGCGGGATTTCTCCTGTCCAACGTAATATCTCTGCCAGGCTTTATTTTTCCATTTCTTCGAATCCATTGGAAGAGAAGCGCAAACCGTGGTGCAACTATGGAACCCTAAAAAAAAACTCGCAGAGTACGCATCCCATCCGGAACATCCCCAGTGTAGTAATAAGTTTTAGTGAAGGCAACAGGGCCCGAGACTGTCCGCAAGCCTCTTGCACACACAGTCTTTTAGTGTGAAGTGATAGACGTCTCACCGTCTTCTCGCTTTCACCTGAAGTCGCAAAATCTTCGGAGTTTTCGGAGTTTTCGAAACAAGCAGCTTGTTAGTCATGTCTTAGTAATATTATCATGTGACCCACTGCTTTCCAAAGCGGATGAGTTGTTGTAGTGCTATTATTTTCTATATAAATATAGTAGCGAACTCTAAAAATATTTATATAGTACTAATATGTAAGGGCCGAATGTACTGCAATAACTAGAATAGATGAATCCTTGAACGTAGGGTACGATTAATGAAGAACTAATCGCCTCCAGACAGCTATTCAATGGGCGGCGGTTACGTAAGCGTTATCTGTAACTCAATTCGCAATTAGTCAGCACCCCTGTTCACTTCATGTTGGATTAGTCATCCATTTTGACTACGACACTTCACCCATAAAGATATTGGTATAGCAACACCTCTCTACCCGTTAGGACGCATTTACATTACCTATCGAAGGTTATGCTCATATGGCTGCTACTATAACGCTTGGAAAGGTTCTTAGAGGCAGACTTGGCCTTTATACAGTCACAAAGCACCTGCAAGACTGCATTTGCCTCGCAATGTAATGAATGCACTTTGCCTTTGGGTTTCACCGGTGTAAGTGGTATTAACGACAATCGCAGAAGTCAAAACAAGGAGACAGTAGTAGTGAAGAGTGTTGACCACTTTCAAATATACAACGAACGGGACATTTTACACCGCTTCCAAAACAAAACAAATTTACTTCGTCCACTAGTTGACGAGATCGAAGATTCCTCGGTACCTCATTCTATCGTATTGAGATATCTAGATGATGATATCTTGCATGCCTCGAATAACCAACGTCTCACACATTTAGAGGTGAAATTCGTTGCTAGAAAGGTGCTTGAAGGGCTTTCGGTTTTGCACGAGGAAGGCTTTGTTCATACTGGTAACACCTCCATCTTGAATTGTGCTTAGCGCGAAGTTGTCTGATCCAGGTATAGATATCAAGCCTAGTAACGTGTTGGTAAATTATGGAAAGGATGCTAGATTTAAAGACGTCCAACTGGCTGATTTCGGGAGTACTGTCCATGTGGACTCTACTTATGCTCAACGCGGGGATCCTATCGGAACCCCAATATTTAGAAGCCCCGAAGCACATCTTCAAATGAAATGGGGTACTTCCACCAACATTTGGTCGTTTGGCGCCTTGGTAAGTTGTCTCATAGATCCGTCGAAATCATGCACGTTATTAACCAGACTACAACGCAGCTTATCAGTCTGCTGTATGGGGAAGGGTTTCACATATTTAGACCCGATGTCCCAGTAGACCACGATGAATACGACGTTAAGATTCTCATGAAGCATCATCGGTGCTTCGGCCCATTCCCAGCATCATACGAAGAGATTGCAGACCAGGAAAGGCTTGCAGTCCTTGCGTGGATAATGCACAACAGCCCTAGTGAGACGTTGAAACCCTTTCATCTTACAACAACTAGAGAGATTTGCCAGGAAGATAAGGAGCTTGTGCTAAGGGCGATGAAGCTCGATCCTAGAGATAGGCCGACTGCTCGTCAGCTCTTGGAAGATAAATGGTTTCACCAACCTTGAAGTTCAAGATACCGCTTACAGTCGATACCTCATTTTACGTACAGATTTAGTTAACTATTAACCAACTACTGATGCTAGCGGGTAACTACGCTTTAACGTTGCCTCGAGGCGTCGAGTTAGTGGCCGATAGGGGCGTTGTTGCGGCTCTTGTATGTTTAAATCGGTGTTGCGTCGATCCAACTCCAGTAAAGCGTCCTTAAGTCAACCAAATTCTCGACAGACAATCCCAACATTCAGGAGACGGCCGGCCGAGCTTCAGCCTTTTTGATTGACGCCGTGTTTGATCGAGATGGCCTGCGGGTTCCTGCCGTTTTTCGAGATTGCTCCAGAGCGATGGGGTAAGTCATATGGCGCAGAGACTTAGATACCTTGATTCCAAAACGTAATTCGACCTTGCACTACGGGAAATGATGAGTGTCGGTTTCACAATTCTCCTTCCTTCAGCATATACAGCCCATTGAATGGAATTTGGTTCCGTACAAAACAACGAGCTGGATAAAGCGCAGCAAGATGCAGCCATCTTCACTGGGATGGAAAGACTTACCTAAAGATGACTGGTTTCTTCAACTTGTGCAGACCTGCATAAATGGTGGCGACATCTCTTTATTAGACACCCTCACTACCTATTACCTTTCATCAAGCAGCTTCCAAAAAAATGTCAGCTACAGCTTTTATTTCCCATCTAACAAGCATATTGGGGAAGATTGAGAACTTGAAACCAAAACTCCACAAAATTTGTCCATCAGACCAACAATGGAGTTCCTTGAGCGATTTAGGCGAGAGGCTCATAGAAGCAGCGACGGCTATTAATCAGGAGATACATTCCATGAAAAATTCTCAATTCAAGCGAGCTCAGGAAAAAAGCGCGGAGCATATTTTACGTGGTAGGCAGCTAGAGGGGCACTCCTTGCGAGTGGTCGATTTACGCAACCTGCAGTTTTTAGGAGAAATATTGTTACAATCTTTGACAGTCCACGGGAGTCAAAATTCGATTCGGAAGATGTGAAACTAAGAAAGTCGCTCACCAGGCAGAGAGCTATGCGGATTAGAAGCCTTTGCCCCGATGTGATAGTATCATGGGCACTTGCTTTCTCTCCAACTCTCTGGGCGGGGGGAACAATGCCTTCTGATGTATTCAGTTATATCCTTGAAGACATACAAGCTCAAAAATGGCCTTTGGTTGTAACAGACACCCTACATATGCTCCAGGAGGACGACAAGTCTCTGAAAACGTCGGCTGAGTACGCTGAGTTTCTCAAAGGTAAGTGAACTAGCAAGGGATGGAGAACTAAAAACTAATCGTTATTAGCAATTCATGAGCCATTATGCGGAAATCAGGCTAGAAAACGAAGACGGTCTGAATCTTCGCCACCTCGGCCACAGAGTAACACTGACCTGCAGACCATTACTGGTTGGGAAATCTTCACCGTCGAAGTGACGGCTGAGCACTTCAAATTCCCTCTCTATTCGGTAATGTTTATCCAACACTCGGGCTGCTCCGTTCTAACGTTGCAGATCTCGGCGGGTGAGCTGGGTGTCGACCATGGCGACCCTCTTCAGCTGGATGCAATGCTCGATCGAATCTTCGGGATGGCCAAACACCTTAACGCGGTTCTGCTTGTTGGATGCTGCGTGATGCGGGCTTGGTGGGCGTACACGCACTGTGGCATGACAATAATAATAGTACTGCAAAATTATACGTTATCCGGTCTAGTTCCAAGGTCTAGCATTTTTATATTAAACTACTAACTGTTTTGACATATACGATGTTTTAATCAAAAACGAAGTCAGATCTGGCTTTTGGATGTAAATGGCATAATGATACCCTATGAGCATATACTAGGTGTGCAATTCGATTGTACATCGCCCCGTTCTCTGCTCTATGTTTAGTCGTGGCGTATCTCAATTCCAACATGCCAAATCCACCAATGCCCAGGCCAGGATATCATGAGATATTGGCTGTCTCCACGGAGGGCAACGAGTATGCCTTGAGCTGCCTTTGCCAACAGGCCGCATGAACTCGCCACGGGCGGACTAAGATGCAGGACAAGAGCCAGAAACAAGAACAGGAAGCAAAAAAAAGAGAAAAATAAGGAGAGCGAATGAACGACGGAGAAATCAAAGTCGCAAGTTGGTAGAAGGACAGGAGAAACGGCCTCCCACGTGTGCCAGGCACTTCACGCGTTTGGCCCCGTCGTTCCGCTTGGCAGGTCAGCGCCAAGGGCCTCCCGCTGTCTTCCGCTCGCTCGGCGCATGACTTGGCTCCGCGCTCTTGGCGGGCCAAGGACCTTACTCTGGCACGTGTTGCTACTATAGATAGGCCGGAGACCTTCCTTTTCAGTAGTTTTGCTCTCCTCTTGGGCCTTTTCTGCGTTTTTTGCCTTTTCCGGCCCAGCCTGGCGGTTAGCGAGGCAAACTTAAGGCTGGATCATGCGAGGTCTCCGCTGTATCGATATACACATATAACCGTATATATATATATATATATATATCTATACGCCGGTGGCATATACTTTTTTTGTCCACTTCTCAAGGGAATCCTCGCTCATATTTGAACATCTCCCGGTGCAAGAGAGACCGCCGCAGCCATGGCTCTCCATCAGTTTGACTACATCTTTGCCATCGGCCTCATCTTTGCTTTCCTCGATGCCTGGAATATTGGTGCCAACGATGTCGCCAACTCGTTTGCGACCTCCGTCTCATCGCGGTCGCTGACCATGATGCAGGCCATGATGATTGCTACAGTTATGGAATTTGGTGGTGCCGTTCTCGTCGGGTGTGTCTCCTTTATCGCCTGCGTATCCGCATAGCTAACGACTTAAAAGAGCCCGAGTGTCAGATACCATTCGTAACGGGATCATTTCAACCTCCAAATTCACCAAGGAGCCGGCTGTTCTCATGCTGGGGATGATGTGCGCACTTGTTGGCTCTTCTACCTGGTTGACCGTCGCTACGAAGATGGGTATGCCCGTCTCGACCACGTAAGTGACCACTCTCTCGCCCCTGTTCAAACCATTCTCTAAGCCTGCAGCAGTCACTCTATTGTTGGTGCCATTATCGGCGTTGGTATCGCGACTCTGGGTAAGGATGGGGTCCAGTGGGCCTATAATGATGGAAAGGGGGTCGCTGGTATTGTCAGTGCCTGGTTCATTGCTCCGGCCATTGCGGGTGGCTTTGCGATTGTTGTCTTCCTCATCACCAAGTATGGTGTACTTGAACGCAAACGACCTCTACGTGCTGGTTTCATGATGGTTCCATTCTACTTTGCTATTACCGCCGGTATCTTGACCATGGTCATTGTTTTCAAGGGAGGTTAGTCGAGTTACCTTTAGGTCCATCACCATTTATTTCTCTATACTAACTTATATCAGCTCCAAGCTTGAACCTTGATGACCTGAGCACTGGACAGGTCCTCGGCGCCATATTCGGTGTTGCTGGTGGAGTCGTGCTTCTATACGGCATCTTCTTCTTGCCATTCCTCTACCGCAAGCTCGAACTCGAAGACTGGCAGCTCAAGTGGTGGGAAATCATCTACGGTCCTCTCCTATGGAAGCGCGGACCAGTCCCACCACGTCCTGAGGGTGCTGTAATCGTCCAAGACTACTACAAGGGCCACAAGACCAAGGAGGAACTTGCCACCACAAGAGGAGCCACTGACGATATCGAGCATGCCGTCATTCCTCAGAGCGAGGCACAAGGCTCGGAAGATGGCATCAAGCGTGGCTCCAGCGAGGTCTCCCCCAACGAGAAGACCGGTGAACAGACCCTCGAGGCCCATGAGCAAGCCGCTCTTGGACCGTGGTATACTCCTAGCAACCTGTTCATCAAGGCCAAGTACTACTTCCTCCGTGGTGTCGACCGTGACGTTGTTTCCGAACAGAACGCCACAGATTCCACCAACTTCCTGGCTGGGGACCTAGATAAGATGCATGCCGAAGTCAAGCATTACGATAACAAAACCGAGCATCTCTACTCTTTCCTTCAAGTCTTGACTGCCGCCACTGCCTCCTTTGCTCACGGATCCAACGATGTTTCCAACGCTATCGGACCCCTTACCACCATCTACCTTGTCTGGGACACTAACACCATCGCCAAAAAGGCCAGTGTTCCAATTTGGATTCTTGTCTTCGGTGGTGCCGCTATCTGTAAGTTTTTTCCCACTTAACACATTTGAAGCATACATAACTAACTATATCGACTACCAGCCATCGGTCTCTGGACCTACGGGTATAACATGATGCGTCAGCTCGGTAACAGACTGACCCTGCACTCCCCTAGCCGTGGTTTCTCCATGGAACTCGGTGCCGCCATCACCGTCATTCTTGCAAGTCAGCTTGGTCTACCAATCTCCACTACCCAGTGTATCACCGGCGCCACGGTCGGTGTCGGTTTCTGCTCTGGAACCTGGAGAGCCGTCAACTGGCGCATGATCGCCTGGATTTACATGGGCTGGTTCATCACCATGCCTGTTGCCGGCATCATCTCTGGCTGCCTTATGGGCATCATCATCAATGCTCCTCAGTGGTCTGGCATTGCCGCATAGGCTATCTCTTCTTTTTTCCCTCCAACCTCTCCTTGATTTTCCATATGTTATCTTAATTTTGTATCTTGCTGTTAATACAGCTCAATATATATATCCATCTGCTTACCACAACCTATAATAACTCCTACCCAATTTATGTGAACAACCTAAATCATTCTTTATCTTTCCAGACAACTTCCTTTACATTTGCTTTACTTTCGTAGAAACATATATAGTGAAATTCTACCCCATCACTCGCTAGGCCCATATTTACTATCTAAACCTCCGAAAACCCATCTTTCATAAAAACCCTCAGCTGCGCCAGGCCATCTTCCAAATCCTTCGTCTCACACACATACCCGATCCTCACGAACCCCTTAAACTCAGGACCAAAACAATGTCCACCAGGCACAAACATCACCCCGACCTTATCAAACACAAGCTTGCACAGCCTGACATCATCAACCGGTACCCCATCTTTAGAAAACCTCACAAACGCCGTGGTGCCAGCCAGGGGTCTGTGCCAGTCACACACAGATGAGAATTCATCCACAAACGACGCGAGGATGTCAAGATTATGTCTTGCTAGCTTCATATTCCTGGCAAGTAAGTTTGATACACACTTCTGGCTCAGTGCAAACGAAGCTACTTTATCATCTAGCTGGCTGACGGATATGGTGGTGTAGTCACGAGCATGGAGACATTTATCAATGATATCTTTGCTCGCGATGATCCATCCTACCCTGATACCGGCGAGGGAATAGGCCTTGGACGCCGAGCCGGTGACTATGGTTCTGTCGTATCCTAGAGAGTATGCAGATGGGGGGCTGTCGTCAAGAGAGTGAAATAGTGGTCTGTATACTTCATCGCAGAAAACATAGATGTTTCTTTCTTTAGCTATGTTGATGATATCCTGCAGATCCTTTGCCGGGATGGTTTTCCCAGTGGGGTTTTGAGGGTTGCTATCACGGTCAGTCATTGATATCGAGTTATTAGCACTCAGAAAAAAAGGGACAAAAGAGACAGACTTGAGAATGATGAATTTGGTGTTTTCCTTAATGAGGGCTCTCAGTTCATCCACATTCAGCTCCCAGCCGTTGCCTATCTTGGTCTGCCAGAGAGTGACTTCTGCACCGAGCGACTCTGGTACAGAGTATAGCTGCTGGTAAGTCGGATAGTGGCAGATGACATGATCCCCAGCGTGGACCAAGGTGTACAGCACAAGAAAGTTGGCGTTGATGGCACCTGGTGTGATCAATACATTCTCAGACGATGGCTCCCGGCAGCTTCCGGAGTAAAGTTCAGCGATGTTCGAGCGTAGTTCCTCTGATCCTCGGATGGCACCGTATCCCAGCTTTGTAGAGGCGTTGACCAGGTTCTGGGGCCTGCTGTCTCCTGCGAGAGCACTGAGGTCATCTAGAGAGATGGAAGCAGAGCAGGTCTCTGCTATGTTATACTTGGCCGTCGTCTCATACTCGTCCATCCACTAGGCTATCTATCAGCAAATCGCTCTATTCTTTGACTCTATCGAGTGACTAACCTGCTCCACGGCAAACGGCTGAACTACCACCATGGCTAACCAGGCCGCCAACTGTATATCAGTATATATATATATATTTGTGTGTATGTAAGTATAGCTTGTCTATGTGGTGGGGGACATCTTCGTGAGGTTGAAGTGGTCTCCTTATGTCATCATCCATCCTCGGGCTTCTCGGGTTGCTCGTTTCATGGCTTGTTAGCTTGCAAGGCGCTTCCTTGTCCGGTGGATCAGACATGCTAAATTGATCGTTCCAGAGATTAGATCTCATGTTAAAGGTGAGTAAAAGGTCTTTGAGGTGGTTTCTTGTGACGAAACATCAAGGTTGGCCTGCATATTCGCTGGCTACGTACAAAGTTCTTAGCGACTCTCAGTATGACATCGCCGAGTCATGTCTTGACACCCTTTTGCCCGCAGCCACTCAACTCTGTGACTTTTTACCCCTTTATTGGCTTTGCAGATCCATTGGAAAGATATGACCAAAAGTGAATTTTTATTGGATCTCTTCCATTTGTTCTTCTAGGCCTGTGGGACAACCGCCATCCAGAGTTCAACCCCTGAGCATGTTTCACTCACTATCATTGGCAGTGATTTATTTCTGCCAGGGTGTACTATGTAGGGGCAAAAAAAAGGGCGAGCCAAACCGAAAAAAGAGTCCTGCGGAAGAGTGCAATGATAAGTTAACTATATATAATGTTTGCTAGCTCCCCTTTTGCGGGTGTTTTAAGCTGCGGCTATCCTTGTTCGTGGCATATTTCATGCATATTATAAAGAAGTTGTTTCTTTGTTTCGCGGGTAGAAGAAAAAGACATCGAGATTCGACTTTGTGGGCGTTTAAACTCTCTCTAATTAACACAAGATGAATATTCTTTCTACCAGCAACACACTTCCTTTGGCCTGATACAAGAAGTGTCTCCCTCTTCCGAAGCCAGGATAACAGAAGCTTACCATGACCATCCTATCTACTGGGCGTTTTAATTACAGGCTGCAGCTTGTTAGGAGCAAGACCATACTTCTAGTCGCTTTCCTCTTCAGTTTGGCTTTGGTCTATCTCTGTTACTTCTACGATGATTATTCTCCAGTTCCACCTCCGGTGCGTGAAGGTGCCACCAAGCTCTCCAAGGCCGTGGTGGTTCCCAAGACAAAATGGGACAGAGTAGGTTGGGTGAAGAAGCTGGAGCCAGAGTAAGTCAACGCATTATATCCTGTGTATGCGGATAGCGCTGACAAGATCAAATCCTAGATGGGTGCCTTTTATCTATTCAGTGGATAATGATGCAAGATATACCCTCCGCACACCCAAGAATGTTGGACGTGAGGCAATGGTCTACCTGTCCTTTATCATAGACTACTATGACTCGCTTCCAGAGATAGTAGCATTCACCCACAGCACAAATAAGCAGTGGCATAATGACTTCAAAGGCCGCAAGACAGTCAACATCCTATCCCATCTGCGGGATGATGCTGTGAAGAAGAAAGGATACGTCAACCTTCGCTGTCTATGGGAGCCTGGGTGTCCGACCTCGGTTAACCCGCTTAACCCAACCGAGACAGATATCAAGGAGCAGGGTGAGCGCGCTAAGATGGCTGAGATATACATGGAGCTGTTCAATGTCACGAGGACCGAGGTACCCATGCATATCGGTGGCGTGTGCTGCGCACAGTTCGCTGTGACCCGGGAACGAATCCGTCAGAGGCCACTGGACGACTATATCCGGATGCGCAACTGGGCCCTAGGAGCTGAGTTCACCAGTTTCGGCGTTGGTTGGGTATTTGAGCAAATATGGCATATCATCTTTATGGAGGAAGCTATCCAGTAAGGAAAACCCTTGAATCGATCCTTGTTTATGATTCCGTCTGGACTAATAAGTATATATCTATAGTTGCCCCTCTGAGGCACAGTGTCGATGTGACCTTTATGGAATATGTACTCTATAGGTTGGAAAGTACGTAAGATGGATACCAAATTCAGTTTAGAAGGGAAGCAAGGCCGCGGAGGCGCCCTAGTGGGAAAAATTAATAGATAGACAACCGGAGGACCAGGAGTTAGAGGCGTTGTATAGCATGTCTGGCTTATATGTATCGGATAGCAAGCATTTGGGATAGCATCGACTGGGTAAAAATGAATATCTTCTTCTTCCTTCTGCTTTCCTGTAGAAACAGCTCGAAGACTGCTTACTAAGTGAATAATATCACATGACTATTACTAATCTTGTAGTCAGCGATGTGGGAGACTTTGCACTGTTTGTCTGCGCTAGTCCTAAAGCAGCCTTTCCCGCTTTTCTCTCTTTCAACAACCAAAAAACAAAACCAACTAAAACTTCCCAAAGCTATTCACAGTTCAAACAGCTAACAAGATATCAACTTGTCCTGCTCTCTTACTCTCTGCCTTTGTGTGCCGAACACTTTAGTTATCATAAGACGGAGATACTATTGCAGATACCTATCTCTTAGCCTGCGAACCGCACGCTTAGGTTGTTCTCACGACAGCCGTGGACGTTCTCTCTCTGCTTAGCTGGCGACTGGCGCAAAGATGAAGCTCACCTTTAGGGTATGCTATATTGGCCCCGGGTTCAGGATCTTCTACTAGATATAAAGGCGTTGACCTGCTCACTAACTCATCTCTATCTATAGGATCTTAAGCAGCAGAAGTTTGTGATAGAAGCTGAGCCCTCCGAGAAGGTCAGTGGTTTTCCCCCGCCATCTTTGCCTCTAGGCTACCGTCTTCAGATGCCCCAGTTATTAATATCCAGCGATAGATCTTGGATGTTAAGGGGAAGATAGCTATGGAGAAAGGGTGGCCTCCATCGCAGCAGAAGTTAATATATTCTGGTTAGTTGGCTATCTTCTGTGTTGTTTTGTTATGTTATTTTGGTATGGCTGACCCCACACCGCCTACAGGCAAGATTCTACAAGATGCCAACACTGTCGAGTCATATAACATCGAGGAGAAGGGCTTCATAGTGTGTATGGTGTCAAAGGTATGTCTAAATATGTATATATATATATTAGGCAGAGTGTTTGAGTTGGTTCGTGCAGTCGCTAACTTTCACTTTTAGCCAAAGGCACCCTCAGCTTCAGCGGCCTCCTCCTCCCAGACACCCGCTATTCCTCCATCTGCCCCAACCCCTGCTACTCCCTCAGCCCCTACCCGGGCAAATGTTACCGCTTCAGAGACCCCGGCCACTCCCTCGCCTGCTGGAGGTGCCGGTTCCGGTGCAACCTTCAATGATCCTTCTGCTCTTTTGATGGGGAACCAGGGACAAGAAGCGATTGCCCAGATGGAGGCTATGGGTTTCTCAAGAAGCAACATCGACCGTGCCATGAGAGCTGCTTACTTCAACCCTGACCGTGCCATCGAATATCTTTTGAACGTACGTCCACATGCCACAATCCTCTCTCCGCACTGGCCAATTACTAACTCTCCTTTCTAACAGGGTATTCCTGATGAACCCGAGCGTCCAGCAGCTAATGCACCAGCCGCCTCTAGGGCTGCCCAACCTCCCGCCGCCGGTGGTGCCTCCGAATCCCAGGTCCAGGAATCCTTAAATCTTTTCGAACAAGCTGCTGCGCAAGCTAGCGGAGGTGGCGCTGGTCGTGGCCGTGGTGCTGGTGCCGGAGCGGGTGCCGGAGCTGGTGCGGGCGAGGGTGCTGGCAGCTTGGGCAGCTTGGAGTTCTTGCGCAACAACCCACATTTCCAGCAGCTTCGTCAGCTTGTCCAGCAGCAGCCACAGATGCTTGAGCCTATCCTTCAGCAGGTTGGCGCCGGAAACCCTCAACTCGCCCAATTGATCGGTCAGAACCAAGAACAATTTCTACAGTTGCTTAGCGAGGATATCGATGACGAAACACAGCTTCCGCCTGGTGCTCAGTCTATCAGTGTGACAGAGGAGGAGAGAGATGCGATCGAGAGAGTAAGTGTTATACGCCTCCCCACTTCCGGCCCCTCATCCACTAACCCGATATTCTTCTTCTAGCTCTGCCGACTAGGCTTCTCTCGCGACTCCGTCATCCAAGCCTACTTTGCATGTGACAAGAATGAGGAACTTGCGGCCAACTTCCTATTCGACCAGCCCGACGAAGGCGAAGACCAGCAATAGTTTCTTGAGGCGCTCTACAGTTTCTTGTTACTTGACCATTTACTCCCTTTCATCAAATGCCCCGTCGATCAGTCCAGAGTAGCCATCAGTCGCCTATCACCTCCATCATGACCTTGTTGACACGACCCAAAAGACTCTGCTACACGCTTTAACCTCCCCCGAATGACGTGAAATGAAATGACATGAATCCATATTTTACCCTGACCCTACTGAACCACTTGACTTCCGAAGGATTTTTTCCATATGGGCTAAAGAATGGGCGAATATGTATCCTAGCAATTAACCTATTCCAGTAATTGAGTGTTCCTCTGTCCAAGCTGTTGTAACAGTGCGATATATCTGTAAAGCTGGTAAAGCATAGTTCTACATCCAGGTCGGACGATGACAGTGACTATGGTACATTGGGCATGGCATTCTATGTTATCCCCAAGCAAAGTCATACACATTACCATGACTTCAGTGGTCATGAGAGAGACGTTCCAAATGCATATAATAAATACACACGTAGAATTAAATAAGATATAACAGCCAACACGCCGCTTTAGCGTCAGCACGGACGAGTAACAAGCCAAATAGCCAGGCCGTATCTACCAAAGACCTGCGCCACCGCCCCAGCCAACCCATCATCACCAGGATCAAAATCATCCATATTAATATGTCGATCGTACTGCCAAAGCTTATGCAGTCTAATATCCCGTCTTGCATCAACGTCTTCATCCACGCCCCCGTCCGGCACAACAAACTGGTCCAGAAACGGATTCGATCTCGGCGCAACAAGAAGCGTCAGCCCCCCATCGATCTTTATCTTAGGCACGCCATGCAGGAATTCAAACGGGTTAGTATCCGCCACACACTGCGGTACAGAACGTATAGCTTCGGAAAGGAATTCCGGTCTAGGAATGCCTTTTAGATCCCTCGTGGTGATAGAAATATCGCTACCGTAGCTGTCGCCTACCAGCCAGAAGGGGGGGGAGTATGTTTTCCACCACAACACGGTGACTGTACGGTTAAGTCCTGTTTCTGTTTCTGGCGGAGGTAGAGAATCCGCCAGGAGTGTTGGTATGTGTATTTGTGCGGGTACCACGCCGCCTTGGTGGTATATACCCATGAATGCGCCCAGGGTACAGTTGAACAGTATCCAGGCTGCTAGGAAGACGCGTGATTTAGGCGGTCTAAAGCAAGTGAGTAAGAGTGGAACACATGGCATTAGGAAACGAGCCTCCTGGTGCGGAAAGAGGGATATGATGACCGCCCCGAAGAGGGCAGAGTATGCGCGCATATTGCGCATGTGGAAGGTCGGTGATGTAGGACCCTTGGTGAAGACAGACCAGATGGATAGGATGTATGCTGGTCCTAGGAGTAAGGGGAGATTGACGAGGAAGTGTTGGTATCTGGGATGCAGGCCATGGTTGGCGAGGTTGGAAGAATCCGAGTTGTAGAGGAGGTTGTTGAGGGGCGTGATTACCGGGTTGTTGATGAAGTCTGAGAAGGTATCGGGGGAGGTATAGAACGTGGTATCGATGGAGACTGCGAAGAAAGAAAATAAAAGGCCAAAGAATGCAAGAGATATGAATGAAAATGGTCTGTACCCGTTAGTTATGTATTTATGCATATGTTGATCATTGTAGACTCACTTGTTAATGAAATGAGGCACTAGTTGAAGTGCGGGTATCATGATGAAAGCCGGAAAAGTTATCCTGTTAAAAACCCCCATAACAGCAACGAGAGAGAGGAATGCGCATGTAAACACCGATGACCGATGCTGTCAGTCGGTACGGGTCAGTATTCCATGGCTTACTGTAGCCAGGTGTGAGAGAGCATACCTTGTTCTCGACGATGCGCTGGATCAAGACCAGACTCCAGAGAACCAGCAGCGTCTCGAGCGAGTTGGAGAAGGTGTGTGTCTGGTACGTCCAGGTGACGTAGCAAGAGGCTACGAGGACGACGGTCTGCCTTCGTTTCCGCGGACTGGGCACCAGCTCATGTATGGCCCAGTCCTCGAGTATGAGACTGAGGAGGAACATGGTGAGACGCAGGACATAGTATATCAGCTGTGGCGGGGGGTTGCCGTTGCCGGTCTCTGCCCACAGCCACTTGAGCAGGGTCATCGGGAGGCCGTAGACAAGCCATAGCGGGAAGATGCTGCGTATCGGGGTGTCAGAGGTGAACTCCCATGTTAGCTGGGAAGGGTATGAGAACAGACGGCCTGCAGTTATATGTTTTAGCTAGTGTGCACTTAACGTAGTGGGGGGAGAAGATGTGTGTAAACTAACCGGCGAAGAGCTCCGGGCCCTGGAAGTTCTCATCTGGATGGATGTAGCTTGGAGAGAGGGCAAAGTAGATGCGCACCAGGAGGAGAAGCAGATATGTTCTCCTCCACATCTTGCCTGGGATGCACGCTCAGACACGCTCAGAGTCAGAGCAGCAGCAGCAACAGTGGACTTCTTTTCTTGGTCTGCGGGCTCATCAGGGTGAACATGCCTTGTCGCATCGCTCAAGCCACGGTAGCTACGCTAGTTGACCACCTTTTTTCTTTTAACAGCGCGGGTTAGAGTAGGCCTTGACCAGAGAAAGAGAGAAAGAAGCGAAGAAAGAGAAAGGATATGATCGAGTGAAAGGATTTTCTGGTCAAAGGGAGAAGAAAGAAGAAGAAGCAAAACTCCTTGAATAAAAATAATTAAATACGAACAAGCCAATAATAGGGGCAGCTCACATCAGATTGCAAGGAGGAAGCTTTTAAAAGGAGATCGCAGATGGTAATATATAAGTAAAGATATCCTTGTCTTCAGTTTTATGTACGACTAGTACGACTAATGATAGCCATGCACGGTATAGGCTCTTGACATCTATATGTACATAAAAGAATATGCCATACACACATAGATGGAAGACTTGGGCTGTTTATCGTGAAAGGCTAAAGCTTACTTTGGAGCCTCGAGTTCGTGTCAGGAGCAGTAGGAGTTAGTAACAACCAGTAGATGGTTGGATCACTGATGCAGTCACATAGTAGAGGCATCTGCCTGTCCATCCCAGTTATATATTATCTAGCATCCGGCTGTGTATGGTTGGCGTTGGATAGTGACAACAAGGCCAGCACTGTCATGGTCTATGAACTGGCAACCTCCACGGTTAACCCTTTCGACTACCGCAGTCTTTCTATGCATCCAACAAGTCTATCTTCTTCTCCTTTCACGTTGTCACTTTTTCTTTTCTTCTTCTCTGGCTTATGACATCAACTGTCTGGGTCATGTGATGCTGCCTGTTCTTCCCGCCCTTCAGTTTTACATTTCCAAAAAGGGTTTCTTCTTCCTTTCTTGCTCTTCTTTTTTTCTCTTTCTTAGGCTTCTCCAGACAAATAACAGACTTGCTGGTCATTCCCTGATCTTCTGCTCTGTTCGACTCTCTCCTCTGGTCGAGATATAAAAGGTACCTCGCCAGCTTCGACCCTTCCGGTCCCCTCCACCGCAACGTCACTATCCAAGCTTCTACTCCGGTTCGGATCCCTAACGTCTTCTCACAGCGCGCATCTCGACTGACATCTTCTACCAGAACTACTTCACATCAACTGTTTAACGCAGCTCCTCGAACTGTTATAAATTATGGCTGCCACGGCGACCAGCAAGATCACTTTGACCAGCTCCGATGGAGTCGAGATTACTATCGGTACGCGCGCACCTCCATCATACACACTCTCTCTGCTAACTCTAGGTGACAGAACGCCAGGTAGCCGAACGCTCCATCTTAATAAAGAACATGCTCGAAGATTTGGGTGACTCCGGAGAAGCCATCCCTATCCCCAACGTGCGTCCTCAGCTCCATGTCAAGCTATGTTTCTCCGGCTAATGTATGTACACCCTCTAGGTGAACGAGTCAGTCCTCAAGAAAGTCATTGAGTGGTGTAAGCACCACAAGGGCGACCCACCCAGCACAGGTGACGACGACGTTGATTCCCGACGCAAGACCACCGATATCGACGAGTGGGATCAGAAGTTCATGCAGGTCGACCAGGAGATGCTCTTTGAAATCATTCTCGTACGTTGACTTTTAAACTCTTACTTGATCACCCTAACACTCTATAGGCTGCCAACTACCTTGATATCAAGGCCCTTCTCGACGTCGGGTGCAAGACCGTCGCAAACATGATCAAGGGCAAGTCTCCCGAGGAGATCCGAAAGACCTTCAACATCCAGAATGACTTCACTCCGGAGGAAGAGGACCAGATCCGCCGTGAGAACGAGTGGGCTGAAGAGTGAGTTTTCGACATTGCACTTTTTTGCTCTTTTAGCGCTGTCTCGAACTTTTGGCTAACCACTTCATAGCCGTTAAACACTATACATTTAAACACGCTTCATTCTCTAATTCCCCCGACTTCCAAATGAGGTTAAAATGATGTCTATGCGAACATGACCCTCTCTTCGATGCCCGTGACTACTCCGCAAATCATCCATCTCTCCATTCAAAGGACACAGTTTCTTCTACTCTTTTATCCTGTATTTGTTCAGCCTCTTTTCGTCGATACAAGAGGCCTTGGGTTCAACTTCTGTTCTCTTTCTTTCACTCGGACGTTTCTTCGTCTACCCCCTCTAACTGCGTAGATATGGGCTGCATTCTTATCTTTTCAACGGAAACACATCGGCAGGTAGCGAAAAATCAAACAAGCAATCAAATTACAATGTTTTCTCTCTCTACGACTTTTACTCTCTACACATGTGGTCTAATATGCTATAGGTCCAAACAAGGCACCAGGACCAAACAAATTTTAGCCACATAGGGAAACCCATTTGCATTCTTTTATAGCGGCTGGTAATAATCTTCATAAACTATCCTCGTCAGATGTGTTTGTCCCAGAAACTTCCCAGCATGACTTTTTTTAAACATCGTTTCCTTTCATCTTATCTCATATGTTGCGGAAGGTAAGGGGGTTCGATGGCTTGTGTGATGTTTCATCGTAGACAAGTTCGATAGAGGAAATAGAGAATAAGACGCAGGTACGGCGAGAGATGGCGGAGGGAATGCGTTTAGATTCCGAGACGGGTCTTGCGCCAGTGTCTTCGCTTGGCGTTGTATCTGTGTTGCAGAATTGTTAGACCATGTATACAGACCAGGTAACGTAGTTTCGTGAGACGTGTGGATGCGTCGGTCTGGACACACACACACACACACACACATCCATCTAGTTCGAAAACCATCAAACGGGGTAAAGAGCAATAATACCTGATAGTGTTGCCGGTTCTCAGCCGAATCCATTGTGGGATAGGTCTGTTCTGCTTCTGGGCTTTGGCAAGCTTCTGCTTGGTGCGGAAGGACTTTTGGCTCTGTCAAAGGTAAAGAATATCCGTTAGTATTTCTATTGCGAATTATTTCTGATCGCGCGCTGCTGAGCAGTAGCTTCATGGGTTCATAGACTCCTACTTACAGGCATCTTGACTGATTCTGAACTGTCGCGTCCTTGGATATCTTGAGCGTTGCGACTGAAGTTGGTTTTGTGGTCGGAAGGGGAAAAAAGAAGGAAGTTTTGTGTGAAGTGGGCTCGCTTGCTGGATCCGGTCATGTCAATCACGTGATTATTTAACTTCCAGGCTTTCTGGCGTTTCAAAGATTCAAGTTGGACTTCTTCACCAACAACAACTGCATCTACGGTTAATTATTTTCTACAAGCTGGGTTGATTTGTTGGTTGTGTTGATATGTTAAGACTAGAGGGCTTTGCCCCGGGTTCCGGAATACAGTCCGGACGATAAGGATTCCGGCTCCTTAACCATACATAGCAGTGACTACTATGTGTCAATGTAGATGTATGTCTGTCTACGTCTGAGGCTGAACAATATCTGACTTTCCATCTAGCTTTAACTACTTTGAGACGCTCTCGCTTTCACTCATGGCGGGATTGATTTTAGTCGCGGCGATACATGACGTAAATTCCTGAACGCAGACAAGGAACAGAAAAGCCAGGGGGCATCCAGCAGCGAGGGTTTACTCCTGACCAAGCATCAGCGGAGTAGCATTCTATGCGAAGGAACGGTGACTCATTATCTCCAAGGCCGGTAAACGATTAAACGATTAGAGCCGAGCGATCTGATTGAACAGCAATCAAGAGAAAAAAAAAAGCTTGACAAAACATTATTTTTAGATTAAAGTCTCCACAACTTCAACAACACCCTTCTCACAACCCCCTTTTTCACCAACAATCTAGCCAACTAAAAACCAAATCCAGCCGGCAGCTTGAGGCTCTAAGACATCAGACGTAATGGGGAGTGGAACAAAGGGAATATCGGCGTTTGGAAAGTCCGCTTTCTCCAAGCGAGCGGAGACAAACTTGGGTTTAGCGCAGGAGCCAGCCCACGAGGCAGCTCATTCTTTTTTATTCCGGTTGATCAATCGGCTGGACCATTGCAAGGCGGACTGATTGATCTGCGGAATAAATTTACACTCTCCCAACATGACACTCGGAATTTGGACGATGGGGCGAACTCAGAAACACGCTGGGGGAATGATTGCATGTCCAGCTCATCAGCTAGATGCAAAAAAAAAGCTGCTGCCTAGAGACTCGGGATCGGATAGATTGAAGATGCGATGGATCTAAAGCGTGGATTCGTGGGCTAAATCACTAAGCACCTGGATCCTCTACCTGTTAAGCTTTCCATGCGGCAAGTTACGCATTTATTTCGCTGCCTGGCCCTCCTGAAAGCGCTTTCATGGTTGACTGAAACTTGCTCCCTGCACCAAGTTACGAAGTAGAATTACCTGTGTACAACAGAGTACATTCCTGGTCATAAAATATACGACCCATGTCTTCGATCATGATAGGGGGTGAGACTCATTCGCTAGTCCGTATCCGAGATGAGTCAAGAAAATCTTTGGGTGCATAATTTTATGCCCGTGACAGTATTGTTACAGCTTTTAAGCACACCGACAGTCAGGATCAATGTAACGATGCAGCCTGCGTAACAGGCGTTACGCCCTGAGCGCCCCCAAGACGATGCAAGAAATAGACGAGGGCCTTAAGCTTGCATCATCGCATGGCAGCCAGCCAACCAACTGTGCCATACTTTTATTCAAAGCGTTATCAAATGGTCTTTCGGGTACTCCGTATACACAGACCGGGGCTCTCGAAGTTCTCCATACCGGATCCATGGGGCAGCCGGAGGATGCGAACCTTAGTCCGAACCTAGCTCATGAATGGTACAAATATAAGAAGGACCAACATGGCTCCCCCTCCGCCGCAAGCTGGCTCCTTGATACTGCTGCATGGGCGGATAATCATTATCTATTCACACTTGAAGAATTCCTCGATGGAATAATCGCCACCGCGAGCTCCGTCTTGCTCCGCTTTGCAGTGGCGACGTTCTTTTTGACCATTGACATATAAAACGGTTGAAGCTGCATGACATAATTTGCAGCTCTTCAGCTCCCCTCTCCTGAAGAGGTGATACCTACATTTTTATCTTTTTATTCATCAAATTAGGCAGTATGGGTGAACTACGCGAGAAGCCGAATACCCAAGACATACAAGTCAACAAACAAGAAGACCAAAAACCCCCGTCCTCCAACTCTTCCACTACAGAAAAGGAAAAACATGCTAAAAAGGGCGGGTCGGATGTCGCGAAGGGCCAGACCGCGGGGGACCTAGATGCTACTCTAGCTCACCTTCCAGAACATGAACAGAGAGTTCTAAAAGACCAATTGTTTATTCCAGAGGTCAAGGCCACCTACGGCACGCTTTTTCGATATGCCACCAGGAATGATATGATACTGCTATGTATTGTTTCGCTAGCTTCTATTGCAGCCGGTGCAGCTCTACCGCTATTTACGGTATGTATTACTCTACTTTCAGTTCGGGAGGCTTTAATTTTGTTGCTAACTCATGATAGGTTCTCTTTGGTTCCCTTGCAGGCACCTTTCGAGATATCGCCCTTCATAGAATTTCCTACGATGAATTTAACAGCATATTAACCAGAAATTCGCTCTACTTCGTCTACCTCGGAATTGCCCAGTTCATTCTTCTTTATGTATCAACTGTTGGGTTCATCTATGTCGGTGAACACGTCACTCAAAAAATTCGAGCGAAATATCTTCACGCTATATTGCGCCAGAATATTGGATTTTTTGACAAGCTTGGGGCTGGAGAGGTTACTACCCGTATTACGGCAGATACCAATTTGATTCAAGATGGAATATCTGAAAAGGTCGGCTTGACCTTGACCGCTCTCTCAACTTTTTTCAGCGCATTTATCATCGGATACGTCAGATACTGGAAGCTTGCCTTGATCTGCAGTTCAACTATTGTGGCCATGGTGTTGGTCATGGGCGGTATATCTAGATTCGTCGTCAAATCAGGGAAGATGACTTTGATTAGCTACGGTGAAGGAGGTACCGTCGCGGAAGAAGTTATCAGCTCAATTAGGAATGCTACTGCCTTCGGAACTCAGGAAAAGCTTGCAAGACAGTACGAAGTCCATTTGAAGGAGGCTAGGAAATGGGGCCGAAGACTTCAGATGATGTTGGGTATTATGTTTGGTTCTATGATGGCCATCATGTACTCAAACTACGGCTTAGGTTTCTGGATGGGTTCACGCTTCCTCGTTGGTGGAGAAACCGATTTATCCGCAATTGTCAATATCCTTCTTGCGATCGTTATTGGGTCATTTAGTATCGGAAACGTCGCCCCTAATACCCAAGCCTTTGCTTCTGCTATTTCCGCAGGCGCTAAGATTTTCAGCACTATTGATCGTGTTTCCGCAATTGATCCCGGGTCTGATGAGGGTGACACTATCGACCATGTGGAGGGAACAATTGAATTCCGTGGCATCAAGCATATCTATCCATCTCGTCCTGAAGTCGTTGTTATGGAGGACATTAACCTGGTTGTACCCAAGGGTAAAACAACTGCCCTTGTGGGCCCTTCTGGCTCTGGGAAAAGTACCGTTGTCGGCCTACTAGAGCGATTTTATAACCCAGTTGCTGGCACTGTTCTGCTCGACGGTCGCGATATTAAAACTCTTAACCTTCGATGGCTGCGCCAACAAATTTCACTTGTCAGCCAGGAGCCAACGCTATTTGGCACTTCTATCTTTGAGAATATCCGATTAGGACTTATTGGTTCGCCAATGGAAAACGAATCCGAGGAGCAAATCAAGGCACGGATTGAAAACGCGGCCAAGGAGGCTAATGCGCATGATTTTATTACGGGATTACCTGATGGCTACTCGACAGATGTTGGACAACGTGGTTTCCTCCTATCTGGTGGTCAGAAACAGCGTATCGCTATTGCGCGCGCAATTGTGAGCGACCCTAAGATCCTGTTACTTGACGAAGCAACTTCTGCTCTTGATACCAAGTCTGAGGGTGTGGTCCAAGCCGCCTTGGATGCAGCTTCTCGGGGAAGGACCACGATAGTCATCGCCCATCGTCTATCCACCATTAAATCCGCTGATAACATCGTTGTGATAGTTGGTGGCCACATCGCCGAGCAAGGCACTCACGACGAACTAGTCGATAAAAAGGGTACCTATCTCCAACTCGTCGAGGCTCAAAGGATAAACGAGGAACGTGGAGAAGAATCAGAAGATGAAGCGATAGTGGAAAAGGAAAAGGAAATATCTCGCCAAATTTCTGCTCCCGCAAGGAGTATGGGATCCGGAAAATACGCTGATGACGATGTCGAAGACAACCTAGGAAGAATTGATACCAAGAAATCTCTGTCCAGTGTTATATTGTCACAGAGGCGCGGCCAGGAGAAGGATCCCAACTACTCTCTCGGCACATTGATAAAATTCATCGCCAGTTTCAATAAGCCTGAGAGGTTAATAATGCTCTGTGGATTCTTCTTTGCCGTGCTTTCTGGTGCCGGCCAGCCCGTTCAATCGGTGTTTTTCGCGAAAGGCATCACAACCCTCTCACTCCCGCCCGCATTGTACGGTAAATTGCGCCATGATGCAAATTTCTGGTCTCTAATGTTCTTAATGTTGGGACTTGTGCAACTGGTAACCCAATCCGCCCAAGGTTTAATCTTCGCCATTTGCTCTGAGAGCCTGATCTACCGAGCACGAAGCAAATCTTTCCGCGCCATGCTTCGACAGGATATCGCCTTTTTCGACCTGCCAGAGAACAGTACGGGTGCATTGACTTCCTTCCTATCCACCGAAACGAAGCATCTTTCAGGCGTAAGCGGTGCTACTCTTGGAACAATTCTGATGGTTAGCACTACTCTAACCGTCGCCTTGACTGTCGCTCTCGCCTTCGGCTGGAAACTTGCTCTTGTTTGCATTTCCACCGTCCCCGTCCTTCTCCTCTGTGGTTTCTACAGATTCTGGATCCTTGCGCAATTCCAGAGCAGGGCAAAGAAGGCGTATGAGTCCTCCGCAAGCTATGCCTGCGAAGCCACGTCGTCCATTCGTACCGTCGCATCTTTGACCCGAGAACAAGGGGTGATAGAGATCTACGAGGGCCAACTTAACGAGCAGGCAAAGAAGAGTTTGAGATCTGTTGCCAAATCTTCGCTTCTTTATGCTGCTTCACAGTCTTTCTCGTTCTTCTGCCTTGCTCTTGGCTTCTGGTATGGTGGAGGCCTACTTGGAAAGGGGGAGTACAATTCTTTCCAGTTTTTCTTGTGTATCTCCTGTGTCATTTTCGGCTCGCAGTCTGCTGGAATCGTCTTCTCCTTCTCCCCAGATATGGGTAAAGCCAAGAGTGCCGCTGCTGATTTCAAGAAGCTCTTTGATCGTGTACCTACAATTGACATCGAGTCGCCAGATGGTGAGAAGCTTGATACTGTTGAAGGCACTATTGAGTTCCGTGATGTGCACTTCAGATACCCTACACGTCCAGAGCAACCTGTGCTCCGTGGCCTCAACCTCACCGTCAAGCCTGGTCAGTATGTCGCGTTGGTTGGACCCAGTGGATGCGGAAAGAGTACTACTATCTCCCTTGTAGAAAGATTTTACGATACTCTGTCTGGCGGTGTTTACATTGACGGAAAGGATATCTCTCGGCTGAACGTCAATTCCTACCGAAGTCATCTAGCACTTGTTAGTCAGGAACCAACCCTGTACCAAGGAACGATCAGGGATAACGTCCTCCTCGGAGTCGACAGAGACGATGTCCCCGACGAACAGGTTTTCGCTGCCTGCAAAGCCGCCAACATCTACGATTTCATCGTGTCCCTTCCCGATGGATTTGGCACTGTTGTTGGAAGTAAAGGAAGTATGTTGTCAGGTGGCCAAAAACAACGTATCGCAATCGCCCGTGCGCTTATACGAGATCCTAAAGTTCTGCTCCTTGATGAGGCTACGTCAGCACTAGACTCAGAATCCGAAAAGGTTGTCCAAGCTGCCCTTGACGCTGCCGCAAAGGGTCGAACAACTATAGCAGTTGCTCATCGTCTCAGCACTATCCAGAAAGCAGACATCATCTATGTCTTCGATCAAGGCCGCATTGTGGAAAGCGGCACCCATCACGAACTCCTCCAGAACAAGGGCCGATACTACGAACTGGTCCACATGCAGAGCCTTGAGAAAACCCACTAATGTCACACAAATACCCTCCACCCTCTATTCTTCCATTCTATTTTTACATCCTAATTCCCCTCCTGCTTTTCTTTTCTTTCTCCCCAGCTAGCAGAACAAATGATCTGCTTCAGCTTTTCGGCTTATTATTTTGAAATACCTCGCACCCCACTTCTGTATATTTGTTCCACCATTTACATATCTCAGCCTCCTGTACATCTTCGACATCTTCGGCGTTTGGATTTGAGTTTGTGGACTTCAGTGACGAAGCAAAGCTGTGAGCGGATTTGCACCTTTACATAACTACTTGCATATATAGATAGACTTACGATGAATCAAAATGGTGTTTTTGGGAAGATGTCCACTCCATTCGGTCTCCAGTCTCTCCCCTGTTGGTGTCTTCCACCAACTCATACTATGTATGGCGATCATGCGGGGGATACGTCAAACCGGGTATACAGGACAGTGTTGGCTGCGACTCGCATCACCCTCATTAGCATCTTATCTGCATATACGGCGTGCTACATCGTATATATCACTTTTTGTCAGCCTCCGATGGCCTGATTAGCCAACATAGACAACCACAATGAGCCACTTCAGCCGAATAACCCGAATTCTCTTGTTGATCGACCAAGATCGACGTGAAGGGAGGCTATGTCTTCCTTGTTGAATTTCTGAACTGAGCCATTCCAACCAGCCTTGTACAGCGAGGAAAAGATATAAATAAAGCTCCTTATCCTCCATGAAATCCCCAAGAAACAACTCCCCGAGCATTCTATCAAAACATCCTCTCAATCTTAAAAAAACTCTACGTCAAGTCATCCCTTCAGCGAAAATGAAATACACTATCCTCCTTGCATTGGCTGCTCTAGTCGTCTCCGTGAGCGCTAAATGTGACGGCGCACCAGACCCTACATGGAGACACGACGGGCAGTTGCGCAGGTCTTGGTGATAACGATATTTGCGAGGCAAGATGCCGCGGTGCAGGCTTCACCTGTGGAGGCTGTGGAGGTTTTCCTTTACAAAGACTGCTGGTGCTGCAACAAACGATTGTGACGCCAAGTATGGCCCCCTATAACTACATGATATCGAGTTTATTCTGGTAACATAAGAGCTAACTGATTGAAGGCCATAAGAAGGAGGTGGACGAGGTTACGGCCAAAAAGCCAAGCAAATGGTGGTGGTCCCTTTTGGGGAAGCCATATCTAGTTTGTAGAGCTAAGGGAGAGTTATATGGGGA